TCAAAAACAAGGCATCAAAATATTTGAAAATATAAAAACAAGCATAACTTCCTATATGTATTAAAAACCTATACTATTTCATATAACAACATACATTTTATAGATAGTAAACAAAACTCTTCATAAGTAAACAATTACTATATTTTTTAAAAAAGCAATTTACTGTCATGGAGTTAATAAAGAAAATTATTATACTGAGTTTATTTTTTAATGTATGACACTGCTGATTCAATAGTTATAAAAACTAATGCTAAAATATAAAAGAATTATATTTCTTTTCAATTTGGAAATTATAAATAGTTCCAAAGGCTTATTAGTAGAAAGTTTGAGTTGTTAAACCGCAATTTATAAGAAAAAGATTAAAAAACTCTAGTTTCTCTTAAGATGAAATAGTTACAAAGTTGTAACACAAATAGTTTTAAAAAGTTAATGAAAAATATTACTGTAACTATAATCTTAGAAATCTGGTTTCTTTATAACTAACAATAAACAATCAGGTTATTTTGATAATGGGGAGGTACAGAATATATATTTTAAGTATCATTTTTCTAATTTATTTAAAGTAAAATGAGCAGAAGAAAAACCAAAATAGCCCTCTCTTTCTATTCAAAAGATCATAGAACTTATACTTTTAGGTAATATTTGAAAAATTCATAGCACAAAAGAAATAAGCCATTTTAGAATAAGAACATTTAAAAATTAAGAAGTTTTACTATCAACTTACCTTCTTTTGATACCAGACTATAGCATCTGTGACTTTGGACGCCATTTATTCCACTGCACTCACACATTAGTCATTTTAGGCTGTGCAAGAGAGAAAAGCATACAGCTTTACTTCCACCTTCCAAAAGGAGACTAAATAACACCCATAGTACTCTGCTTACTCCCCAGCAAGGGGTGCATGACTATACTTATATTACACCCTTCCTCATTACTATTTTAGCAACAGGTTCTCTTAAGTAAACAAAAATCAGTTGCCATAATAAAGGAAGGTTCTTTCTGCAAGAATGTACCATTTGAGAGAGAGAGAGAGAGAGAGTGAGTGAGTGTGTGTGCAAAATAGGTTAAGGGTGTTTTTTAAATATCAATCTCTCAAATAAATTCCAGAATTTCCTAGTTTATAGTGGGAGTTTTTAATGTAGAAATTAAGATATAATAAAAATCCAGTGACTAACTCAGAGATTGCTTTTTGCTATAGTTTCTGTTTAGGAACAGTTACTATCAATTATAGTTGTTAATGGATGGTTTAACAAAGATGTCAAAATTTATAATCATACTAAATTTATAACCATTAAATTTCTTGTATTCAGTAAACACAAAATTTCATGAAAATTAAGTAACTTGAAATGTTTTACTACATTTCCATTAAATACTAAACCAGTATTTCAGTCAATTACACAGGAATAATTAATATTTAGAACTTTCCAGCTATCAGAATTAACTAATACTTAGAAATCTGTCACGGATCATTTTCTTAACCACCTTTCTTGTGTTTGCCTCAAACAGCACTGGGTGCTAAACTTGATGGTGTCTTTGCCGTAGGCACAACTCCAGACTGAGCCCAGTGAACTCTGGAGTACTTTACTGGTCATATGATGGTGTTAACATGGAGGGCAGCTTTGGTATGGCATTAAGGATGAGCCTAAAATAGAGTCAAACACAAATAATGGCACAAGATCTCATTATAGACCAAAACCATCCAGGGCAGCAAAGAACCCTGCTGAGCTAACGCACATCTGCAACCCCCACAGAGAAACAAAATAACAGGCTTTTTTTTAAGGTATTTCTGAAAGAGAGAGAGAGAGAGAGAGAGAGAGAGAGAGAGAGAGAGTGTGTGTGTGTGTGTGTGTGTGTGTGTGTGTGTGTGTGTGTGTGTATACACACACATATACCTATATACTTCTTGAGCATATTAGAATTCAACTACAAAGAAAATGTTTTAAAACTCGTAAGTTCAGATGTTCAATCTATGAAATTTAATGTTGTTGTTGTTGTTGTTATGTGCCGTCGAGTCGCCTGCGACTCATAGCGACCCTTTGTACAACAGCCCTAAACTCCGCTCTGTCCTGTGCCAATCACACTGTCTCCGACACTCCCATCCCAATTATCCCAGTCACTGAATCAA